CCCGCGGCACAACCCCGGCACCCCCCCAGCTCCTCTATTGCAGGCATCCCCGATTCAGCTGCTGCTGAAACTGACCAGCAGCAGCTGAATCAGGGACGCCTGGGGCAGAGCTGGACTATCATAAGTGGGGGCTATGAGGAGTCTGGGGTGGCATCCCCTCCCACCCCACTCCAGACCTCTCATAGCCCCCCCTTCTGATAGTCCGGCATATCTGATAATCCGGCACCCACTGGGTCCTAAAGGTGCCGGATTATCGGAAGTTTACTGTAACAGCATGAGAGTATAAGGAACAAATCTTTCCAGACAAAACAAATGGCTTTTTGGACTGAGTTATAAAGTGGAGGAGAATGAAATTATGTCATATATCTAGACTTCGGTAAAGCATCTGACACAGCATCAAGAAATCTTACTTCAAAAGTAGGTAGACTTCCTTTGGATATGGACTAAAAACTGGCTGAAGGTCTAAAAATAAATGATAATGAGTAATGCCCACTGAAAAAGAAATAGGGATCCTACAGAGCGAAACAAAAGGTTTGGTGCTTGATAAGTCTTATTAAAAAAGATATTTAGTGAGTTAGAAGAATTAGGGGAAATTGAAATAGATGAAAAAAGGCCTGTTAGGTCATTTAATACATCCTCCTGCTAATGCAGATATGCCCATATGAGGTGTTATCCAGAAATGCTTTATCCTCATTGGCAGGGCTCGACAAATAATGTAATCTACTTGCCTATGGCGAGTAGATTACGATCCGGAAGAGCCAGCGCAGAATGCAGAACAGCGCAAAAGCGCGCGGCTGGCGAGCAGGGCTCGCCACCACTTGACAAGCCCTACTCATTGGAACAAAGAGCAAGCTAAATCACATCTGAAGACCATGTTCACAGAAATGTTATGAAGATACCAAAGAAAAAAGAAAAAACACAAAAGGTACCCAGAAAAGTTATAAATGTGAGATCAAAGCATCATATTCTGGGTTTCTCAGGGCACTGTTTGACCAAGAGATGTTCCGGGAGCTGTACCAAACCAATGAAGAGAACTAATAGAGAAAGGCACATGCTAAGCAATCTAGAAGAACCGTGGTGCCCACAAACTGTTAAATTGAGGTTTGGTTCTGTAAATACATAGCTAGGATTTATATTTACAATAATTTGTGCGCCTTCTACTACCTATGCTATTGTTACCACATCTCTTCTAAAGACTTTCCCACCCAATATTACGACAAACCTACAGTCCTAATCAGGGTTTGTTACTGACTGTTACTAACATAGTGGTTTTCAAACTACCGGTCACAACCCAGTCCTGGGTCATGGAATGTCAGGCACTGGGCCTCATTGCTGCAGGAGGATCACGTGACCAGTGGGCATGCTTAGGCAGCTACCTGCCTGTCAGGGCACTGAACACTATGCTGCGCCCCAGAAGTGGCTGGCAACAAGTTCGACTCCTAGGTGGGGCACAGGAGTGGGAGGAGAGATGAGCACACAGCTCTGCACACTGCCCCTGCCCTGAGCACTAGCTCTGCACTCCCATTGGCTGGAAACCTGCTGCTGGCTGCTTCTGGGGCACAGCATGGTCTGCGGTGCCAGGAGAGGCAGGAAGCCTGACTTAGGGTGTGTCTAGACTACCGAGTTTTGTTGACAAAAGTGGACTTTTGTTGACAAAACTATACCTGCATCTACACTACCGCTGAGTTCTGTCGACATAACGTCGACAGAACTCAGCAGTTTTGTCGACGCTGGTATACCTCATTTTACGAGGCATAACACCTTCTGTCGACAGAAGGTGTTATGCCTCGTAAAATGAGGTATACCAGCGTCGACAAAACTGCTGAGTTCTGTCGACGTTATGTCGACAGAACTCAGCGGTAGTGTAGATCGACAAAACTTCCGTCCACAAAACCCGGTAGTCTAGACGTACCCTTAGTATCCTCCGCGGCACTGCTGACTGGGGGCTGCTCAAGAGGAGCCCCTCTTGCCTCAGCCCTGACTCTTCCCCCTGCCAAAGCTGGAGCCCCCTCCTAAACCCAAAAGCTCTCATCCTCTGCCCCACCCTGGAGCCCACACTCTAGTCAAATTATACTAGGTCATGGGCATCCACAGTCTTCTTCAACTGGGTCATGAGAAAGAAAGTTTGAAAGCCACTGACTGCTCTAACACCTCCTTCTCTAAATACCCATAAAATGGTGAGGTGACTTCAGTGTGCCTCTATTCTACTAACTGTAAACGCACCCCTGAAAGTACAACTTATGGTCACAGGACTTGGTAAATATAAAATAAAAGTATCAGGTTCATTTAACATAGCAGTCAGAGCTTTTGTAAACAAAACTACTTCCCAGCACAGACGTTAGTTTTGACCAAAGAATGGAGCAAATAAACTAGGGATGTTAAATTGTGGTTATTCAGGCAATGGAGGAGTCGATGGAACTGCCTTTGACTAGTCGATTAGTCAATAAGGCAGGGAGGGGGTGCTCACTACCCCCACTGCAACTCTGCAGTTTAAATGTAGTAGGTGCCAGGCACCCAGCAGCTCGGCTCCTACCACATTTAAACTGCAGAGCCAACAGGATTAAGCAGTCCGAGCTCACGCTGTGCCCAAGAGCTAACCCCACTGTGGCTCTGCCTTTTACATGTAGTAAGAGCCCACCGGGCTGCCTCCTTTAAAAGGCAGCGCCACAACAGCCCAGAGCCAGCGTGAACCGGGACTGCTAAATCCTGGCTTAAGCCAGCCCTGGGAGTTAGCCCCAAAAGGCAGAGGTGCAGCAGGTTTAGCTCCCAGGGCCACCTCTGCCTCCCAAACCACAGAGGTAGTGCTGGGAGGAACCGGCTTTTAAGCTGGCTCCTGCTTCCCCCGCCCCCTTGCTGCCTCTGACACACATGCTTATCAGGTAGTCAACTTCTCCCTTACATCCCTGAAATGAACCAGATTCAGAACACATTAAATCAACTTTCTCTGCAAAGAAATCACAATGATGCTCATATGAAAAAGGAGAGAGATGCACACACATTTTAAATGTAGGTCATATTTTAAAGCACTGGCCTGCAACCATCAAAAATATTCCTAAGGGAAAGAAGAAGAATGAGTAAAAATGTATTTTACCAGAAACATAACAAAGCCAATATGAGAACTCTCTGCTTTTACTGTGACTAATAGTTAAATAAATGGATCTTTTTCCATGTAATCACTACAAGTTAATTTTTTACTAACTATCACAATAGATCTCTTTAGGAAAAGAGCATGCAGCCTGCAGCCGAGATCAATTGTGACAGATATCTTGTTCAAGAAGGCAGAAGTCACCAAGTTTTAAAACCCCCCAAACACAATTTAAATGTTTCAAAAATAATTAGCATTCACAACTTAGCTGTGCATTATTAACATTTTGTGATCTGATAAGGATTGTATCAAGCAGAAAAAAAGAGGTAGAATGATTATTCACTAAGCTCCGATGGTAAAACTGATTAGCATCCTACTGAGAAGAGTTTACAGTTAAAGCTTTTGATTTAGCCAACAGCTATCAGACACCACTGAAAACTTTGGTAAAGTTATTAACTAACATTATTCTTGCCCTCTAGGACCCCACTGCTGTAAACATATCCTTAACATTAACCTTGTAAGTAGTCCCATGATTTCAGGGCTTAGGAAACCATCAAGAAAGGTAGTACATACAACTAATGAACCCTTGGCTAGTTCTAGGAAAGGTTTTAACAATATAAAAACGTGGTATTAGTCAACCAAAAGCCCATGAGAGCCCTTTCGGTCCATATCACTATACAACTTGCTCCTTCCCTGCAAACTCCTGAGCAGTACTGAGCCTCTGCAATTTGATTTGATGGACTCTCCATGATTATTTACAAAACAACCATCTTCCTTAATGACCAATTTCAAAGTTAATAGCAACAATTTACATAATTTCTGTACAACAGTAGCTACTGTGGACAGCTTTCCTAAGTTAATTCTTCTCCATCCTAAGGGAAAAATATGAAGACAACTCCTTAGCTCCAATGAGAGCCCCAATGACTTTTCACTTTTCCTAACAACCTTATTTTGTAAAAACAGTCTTTCTAGCAGAAGACTAAGGAGGGCTGCCTTCATAGCTGATGGTATGGCATTTGTTGTACTTACTAGGAATATGAGAGTGTAACCATGTATACAGTTAACTGGTGAGCTCATCGGTTAATGTACACGATTACATCCAGGCTCCCGGTACACAGAGGGAGATGGCTTAAAAGCTGGCTACCTGCATGCACCAGCTCCCAGGAGCTTCCACTTTACCCCCACCACCACGCTGCATAGGGAAGTGGAAGGAGACAGGTGCTTCGGTGGGAACCAGTACACCCGGGGAACCAGCTGTAGCGGAGGCAGCAGAACAGGGGAGGGTTGTCAGGTGAGAGCTGGTGCATGCAGGAAGCTGGCTTTTAAGCCACCTCATCAAGCATACCGGCTCCCTCAGAACCACCTGCTGAGGTACACCTCCTCATGCACAGAGCTACATATGCCTGTTCTGCCAGATTCCCAGCCCCGACTAGCCCATGAGATGAGAGACCAGGAAACAATTAGCCAGTGATTTTAAAAAGTAACAAAATTCAAGTTGTTGACCAAGACTATACTGTACATTAAGCACTGTAAGTTTTTGTCCAAGTAAACATCATATATTTACCTCATTGGCTCTTTTAATTATTTTGTCATCTATGTCTGTAATCCCCATCACCATGACTACTTCGTTTCCAAAAACCTTAGTTATTATTCTTCGAATAATATCAAATCTAACATAGGAACTGCAAAAGAAAAATAAAGAGCTTTTAAATGTGTATTATTGGTAATAAAACTAAAATTAATGAATGAAAACCACCCATATAGAAGCTCTGAATGATCTAATAGTGAAAGAGAGAGAAAGAGAGAGAGAGAGAGAGAGTGAGAGAGAACAAAGATAGTCTAGAGTAGTGTTTTCCAAATGGTGCTCCGTGGAACCCCGAGGTCCCGCAAAGCAAATGTAAGGGTTCCGCGAGAAATTGGAACCCCCCCCAGCACAAAAAGACAGACTCCTTCCCCCCTCCCCCCCCACGGCTGGTAAGGGTTCTGGGAATGCCTTTCCCCCCCATTAAAGAGACAGCCCTGGTTGGTTGTTTTTTTTCTGCTAGACAAATTTTCCTGGCTGGGATTCCTCAAAATTCTTAAAGGCTTCCATGGCCAAAAAAAAATTAAAAAAAATTAAAAAAAATTTGGGAAACACTAGTCTAGAGACAGAGACAGACAAACATATACAAAATTCTACTCCAGAACTAGTTACATTCTGCAAAGAACTTATGCCATCACAGCTGAACTGGTCTACCCTCTTCTGGCACTAGTGACACATTACATCAAATGTTTGATGTGTTTCTTTGCACACATCTCTTTAAAATGATATAGTGAAGTGAGATTACATCTAAATGTTAACCAAAAGGTTTACTACTAAAATGAACATCACACTAATACCCCATACTCAGCTTCTAAAATCTCTTTTATACCTCACTCATATTCTGAAACAATCGGTTACTATAGTACGGAATTAAACAAAGACCTAAATCGATACAAATATATTCCAATTAGAGTTGTGAGGGATTGGCTAAATAAGTACTAATCTCAGTTACACCACTATATAAACAAAACTGTATGCTACAACATCACAAGTCTTTATGGATACCAGGCAACAGTTTTCTCAAATGTTTGAGAAGGAACTTATTTAAGTTATTCACGGACTTTAGCACAAGTACATTTTTTTAATAAAATCCATGAGTTTAAATGTAACCTGTAAGCTTAAATGTTTCCATGAAGCCATTTGCTACTGTAAGAATCTCAGGTCACACTTCCAAAGACATTTATTTGGACTCTGTTAAGGGCAGCTATTGTAGAAAGGCTAAGCAACAACAGCAGCAGCATCTGAGGAAAAGGCACAGACCAGAAAAATGAAAA